ACCGACTGAAACAAGAACTCATAATGGCTCAAATTGAAGCTGAACAATCGCATTAAAGAGGCAACATGTTCACGTGCACTAGATAGGGTGTAAACTGTAAAGCAACGGCACAATTGCTTATATAAATATCTATAATTAACGAAGAGGATAAATCCAAAACACAGATAATAGCAATGAACAATTGGATGGTCTGGTTCATTTATAATGATTTAAGTCTACATGATAGATCATTATTTGGCTATAAAACATGCTCTGTTTTTTAAGAAATCTCCCCATAACATTTATTTCTCTCTTTCATTTGATCCACTAGTAAGTACATACACATTGTGTAACAAAGAGATAATAGTCTCCTTTCCCTTAAATCCTCTCCCTCCTGGTGAATACAAAAGTCAAATGTTAGCATATGTTAATTGCAGAGGACTTACTAGCTGTGGTAGTTGCCACCTCCATAACTATAAGCAACCTGAATTCAGCAAACTCAAATGCGCTGCCAGTTGTTTGTATGTACGTGGGGGACACTCGTGTGCAACACATCTTTGAACATGCAATCATCTCACAAGTGGGCTCCACATGTGCAGATGAAATCTGAGTCATTTGCATGTACTTACATTAAAGTGTACAGAAGGTTTTGTTCAGGCTTCACAGCTCAGAGATAGCATGGGAGCATTTCCGGGTATCCAGGCTTCTTGTCAGAGTTAGGTAATCCAGCTCATATATCTTCGTAATTATCTTAACATACTCATCACAACATTTCATCCAACACTGAATAAGGCCGCCACCACCACCCATATGTAAAAATCAACCAATATCCCTGTTGATATCTGCTTTGCAGCAACCTTTTGACCAGAAAATTTTGTCCCAAATGGCCCAACAACTATGTGAAGTGAGTCATGTTCCTCTAGAGACCTAAGGTTTGGATCAATATCAATGGTTTTTGTTGCCATATGAAAAAGCATAGGAAATAATGGAGGAAACAGTTTACCTTGTCTTTTGTTTAGCTTATGTCGAAGAACCTCGTTGAAGCAACAGTATCACCATCGGCATCATCCAGTGGAACAGTAATAAGCTTGGAGTTTATCTCATATCTGAAAGGAATTTTAGAATTTCAAAATCTTGTTACAGAAAGGAAGATGCCAGGCAGGCAATGATTGTTCAGGCAGAAAAAGAAATAGCCACAGTTCACACGTACGGTAATAATGGTTGGTCCACTAGCCATATTTTAGTAAGAAAAGAACAAAAAGGTGACTAGCATGATCAAGAATCCAAGGTGAGACTAAAATTCTCGGATTCCATGACTGGATGGCTCTCATGAGCGATCGGTATCATACCAACCAAGATCCTGGTAAATTTGAGACTGCGTATGCCTTAATGATATAGATCCTATTGGAGCATTCTAATTGCCCACAAGAGCAGTGAAAACAAGACTGGAAGATAAATGAGCAAAAACGTTTTTCTTGGAGCACGATGCTTGTACTCATTAAATTGCATTCAGGGAGGGCTGAAGAATCCGAGTTTGAATCCCAGTCAAAGCCAAGTAATAAAACAATTTGCATATGATGAAAAATAATCCATAATTATAATTTCTTCCTGTCAATTTCCCTTTTGCTATAGGATACCTTATTGCTTTCATCATCTATCCTGGAGGGACTTTCATCCTTCTCAAGCAGGTGATGCTGATCTTTTGAATCCTTCTGCAAGGGAATAATTTCACGAGCTGCAAATGCATCTGAAGGGGTAACCATAAAAACTCAAGGATTTGATAGTTAAAGAAGTGTTACTTTTCCAGACGCTTGGAAATCTACTTTTGAGCTGTTTGAGTGAATATGAAAGAAATTTGGCCAAAAAAATATGAAGAAAATTTAGAACTTCTGTGTTAAACATCTCATAAGCAGTAGAAGAAGATTAACTTTTGCTTACCTCTCATTCTTAAAAAGTTGTTATTAATATGTACTCAATTCACATTGGGAATCAGGATACCTATATACTAAACAGCACGTCGAGAAAATTAGTAGAAATAAGAATAACCACCTCCCCTCCTATGTAAAAATTACCTTAAATCGGTAAGGTCAAAATCAGTTTTGGCACCTGTAACTTATACGTTGGGTGCCAAATTCAAATTTCAGGCGCGTTTGTCCCAAAACAGATGGGCTACTGTCATGACTCTCAATTCTTGAGAAATGGCAAATCCACCTGGGAGGAAGAAAATTTAGAAAGAAACTATGGAGAACATAATATTTCTCAAAAGTTAGAGTAGTAGGAAAAGGGGAAACCAAAATCCCTACCTATGCTAGAATTGCTGCTGCTTTTTGGTTTTGATAAAAGTTGACAAAGGGAAGAATAATTTCAGCTGCACATGAAAAGGTGACGCAGGCAGATGTTATGATGATCCAGGTATATAGATTGAAGAGTAAAAATTATGAAAACACAGGCTGAAAATAACATGATATTATGAAGTTCGGAGTACACTTTCAAAGACAGTTAATACGCTTGTATCACTTTTCAACGACAATTAATGAGTATGCAGCAAGAACATAGAACTGCACAACAATTTCACCAACTGAAACTTCAGATACTCTCATGAGTAGTTTCTAACCATACAAAAGGCATGCTATTATGAATCAAATCAATTTAGAAAGTAACTCAGCGCTTTTCTTTTTGTTACAAAGTACCACTATATTCCTTTGTATATCTAGTTGGCTCACGGTTCCCTTTAGAAGACTTGTTTAACTGATATTAAAGGATTTTATCATTCTTTTTTAAGAGAGTACTACATCCATGAAATGTGGAGATAGCTTTCAAAGTCATGTGGTATTTGCCTTTAGGTTTGTGATTTTCATTTTAGTGTTAATCATAAGTCTCCCCCACTGTTACATCTTTATGTAAAGAAACTTCACTTCTCCTTAGGAATGCGGGCAACATCAGTTAAACCCTTCAAGGATTGTCCAAGAATGAAAAATAGAAGGCTTTATCATGAGTTCTACAAACCTTCTATGCATGACAACAACCGCCTAAATCGTCGTCCAGACATTGTTTGCTAGAAGGAACCAGAGAATTTAACTGGCAAGAACAATGGAGTGGATTTTGCAGCAACTTTAATTTAGACGCTCATCTTCATAGAGCATTTTGCCATTGCAGATGAACAAGAACAAGTCATAAAATTAAAATACGATCACATCTCTTCAAATGAATGCCTTAGAAACGATTTAAAAAAAATGCCCATATAAATTCATTCACCAGTACCTGACTCCAGCTACCAGAGGAAGTGAATAAATCTGCAGAACCTCTCACCCCAGCAAAGAAAATATCTCGAGAAGTTGAGAGGGACTTAAGGACAAAGGTACACCTTTATGGAATTGGACATGTAAATGTACAAATATAGCGTTGCAGGCTATATACCGAAGACTGTAGGATCAGAGGCCAGACAATACCATATAAATGTACAAATTTAGTGTTGCAGGCTACTACAGAGTGTAAAGAAAAACGATCGCATTGCCAAGAATTTAATAGCGAGTGGTTAATTTAAATTACGTCCAAAGGTTTCATATTTAAAGTTTCAATCAAATATCAAATAGTCATTCTAAAATACAGGCCAGAGGGCAAAATCATTAATGCAAATTTTTTTTTTTTAAATAGTCAGCAAAGCCAGTAAACTTATTCAAGCCCTTTATAATCAGCAACCTTCAATATGTCGAATTCCTCATCTATTTTAAGGAACTTAAAGGCACCTCGAGCCCTCCAACCAGTTTTGCTTTCCAGTAGACGTCCAGCAAGAGGATTCAGATAAACAGGAACAAAATGCAAATAAAGGAACTTAAGAAAGCATATTCTGATGGATACCGAACATAACCTCCTGTCCCCTGAAGCTCTGATCATGGTTTCTCCACAAAATAGCAATTCCAAGAACAGAATGCCTGACGCAAAAAATGGATTCAAAATCAGACGAGGTTTACGAAGTCAGACAAGAAAGCATAGAATTGCAGGGACTCCGTTCTCTTTTCCCTCAAGAGTTAACATTCAACGATTAATGTGACTGAAATGGGTTTAATGGTTCTTTAAGCCAGTTCATGCAAAGTTGTAAACAAATACTAAACAGAAAGAGACACTTCCCAGAAATGGGGGAAAAAAAAGGCAAATAAATACTATCTTCAGTCTGGATCACATGACGTTTACCATTTTGGTTACCGTGGCTAAAAAGTTTTTATGAAACTTCATATTCTGTCATGTCCTCAGGCGCATAAACTCCGCGAGCTTCCCGGGAAAACGATTTATTAATTATTACCCCATCTTTCTTCATCGACTTCTCCATTCATCCCCACAAAAAAAGTATGTTTTTATTTCTTCATTTAAATATTAAATTAAAATATATATGATGTCTGGTAATACTTTCACTACAAAACTAGATCTTATATTTAGTATTGAAAGTAGTGTATATACTACTTATGATTTTTAATATGAGAGTTAGATAACTAATTTAAAGATATTAAAAAAAATTAGTTATGTTAATTATTCGTCACAAATATGTGTTGATCTCCTTAAACTATTGCCTTCAATTGTGGGCGTTGGGTGATTGAAATTATCTTATGAATATTTTAAGGATATTTTGGAAAAAGATAAGAGATAAAGCGAATTGAAGTTTTATATATTAAAGCCAATCCAATTCTCCAACTAGCTTAAATATTAAGGACCGAAGTACAATAATCTTTTTTTGTCAACGCCTGATACTTACAAAAGTCTCTTCTAATTTTATTCTATTTTATCCCAGAGTCTGGATTATATTTTCTTGGAAGATCATTAACAATTTTATCGTGAATAGTGTGATTTTCATATGCTTAGCTGGTTCTCATTATTTTGTTATTATTCTTACTTTAATTTTTTTTTATTTTTCTACTATTTGAATTTGAATTTTTATGTTTTCACTAAAATTTAATTTGAACCACAATATATCCGTCAACCAAAACATTTGTATCGGATAATTATTTATCTCACCCATTAAGGATCATAAACTACTCAACAAGGAAACGTAACGATGAATTTCATTACAAAAGCAGGTAAATGTACCTGAACAGAACCTTCACCTCATTGACCAAAAAATTATATGGGCGAGGGATAAGAAGGGTAAAGATTTTGATCAGCAGCACATCTTTTTTGGGAATACAACAGGCAAGCTAAGCTTGACGACACTAGACTAGGATCAGCAGTACATCTTAATGACAAAAATGGCCAGAGTTCAACCAACGAAGCCTAAAGTAAAAGCCCCGTAAATGTATCAAGAATGATATGACTCAAATGCAAGTAGCTTTGCATCTTCAGCTTTCTCGTATTCCTTGTACAGAATCTGAAACAAAACACGGAATTTAGAATGCTGCGGGGGCAACCACATCGATCCATTCCTCAAATAATCCATCCTTAGAAGTACAGTATATATAGTTAGGTCACCTTGTTGTTTATCAAGTTGTGTAGCGCAATGACACAACGGATGAGAGCGGTTAGATATATGACCCACATCATGTCGTTTGATTTTACTGCATAACACAAATACAAAGGAACATGTATGGCATTCTTATTAAAAACACGTTGATAGATTTAAGTTAGATGGGAAAGAGAATATTCATTGTTCCATGGGCCTTACCTACAAAGGCCTTGATTAACTCAGGAACATTCAGATTCGGACAGTGGTTGACCACATCCTGCGAATCTCAACTACTTGGCAAATTAGAAAAGCAGTCATACAAATATTCAGTTATATATGCAGGTTAAATGACATGACGCAATGTAGCTGTGGATATCCCAAATTAAAGTAATAGCAATTGTACCTGCAGATGGCAGAGTACCTCATGGTTTAATGGATACCATCCAATAATAAGCAAACCAAGGTACCAACTTATCCTTCTTAATCTAGCATCTAAACCCTTAATGGCTGTAAGTTTATCAGAAACCTGAACAAGCAACAAAGTAGGTAATTTGCTAATTAACTTTCTGCTTCAAACGGCATACAAACAATTGTACAGTTCTCAAGTTAATGAGGAAGGAGATAGACTTGAAAACAGTGTACGCTGCTGGAAAGGATAAAGGGGAAGGAAGTGAGCAGGTGGAACCTCAGTTGCAAGTGTACTGATGGTTGTATCTTTCACATCTCTTAACAAGTGTCCAACTCCTGTAAATACAAGATGTTATTGCTAATATTGGACAAGTAAAATCTAATCCAAAAATAAGTCAATTTCTAACTTTAGTCGCTCTGATGAAGTGCAGCTCAAAGTAACGGCAACATTTTTGCTCATCTTACCAATTTCCTCAACCTCATCAGCAGCAATTTCCGAAGGGACATGAACAAAAACCTTCTGACTTTTTTGGGTAGGATTCTGTCATAATAAAACAAATGTATCTTTTGGTTAATATGTTTGAATAAAATTATAAGGAATTTATATTCTATAGCTCTTTCATTGCCAATTATTTCTATGGAAGAACATTTCACATGCATCATATTGGTCTCACCTCCTTCCCTTCTTCAACATCATAGTAAGCATTTGTTGGGATACCTGGCTCCCTAGATCGCACATCAGTAATGACCAAGATCGGATTTGGAACATAGCTAACAAGGGATGAAGAAGTCAATTGAGGAGAAGAGCAAGCTTGAAAACTTGAAAAGAAAAGCAAAAATATAAGATTTAAATCAACTTTGTCTATCAAATTTATAATTTTTTCCCTCAAAGTATCTCTATGGATTGCACATAGTAAGGAGATTGCCATTAAACGGGCAGGATGGTTCCACTGCATATAATTTAATAGAATATTTAAGGAAAATCAACATACATTCATTATAAATAACTAGCTAAACTAATTTCCTTAATACAAATACACAAATTAATTTTGTAACTTTCATATCAAAAATCAAACGTAATAATATATATATGTATGAGTCACAACTTTTTTTCCATATATATGACAATATCTGAATAAAAATCAAGCTTCACAGTATACATAACCATCGAGAAGGAAACATCAAAATTCAATTGGCACAAACAAAATTACACAATCAAAATGGCCTGGTCCATGTGGGCAAAACCAACAAAACTATCATGCAGACAAAACAAAATGATTTTACACCACAACAAATCCAGATCTTTCCCAGATATTCTTCAGAAAGAAAGACACAAAATCTTACTTGTGGAATAATCTATGTATGTCCAGATCATTTGCTCGAAGTTTTGGGCCTGTACTGTACCATCCCACAACATGCTCCTTATCTGAAACATAGCCACCAAGAGTCCCTACATTACAGGGGAAAATGGCAATATGACATCACTTAAAATTCTAAAAGGAGACTTGCAATTCATTGTAGCAAGCAAGATTACCATTTATTTTCTTGAACATAGAAAGCATTGCCTCATGGTAGTTGTGGTTAAGGGACCAGACACTTGGGTCCGTGACTTCTTCCTCAAAAGGAACTGTCATTACAGAAACACAAACATACTGAATTGCTCTCTAAACATATACTGAATCACATATTTAGCATCCAATGTCGGTAAGCCAATGGCCGGACATCGCGCGCCAGTTCTAATCTGGAATCCACAGAAGAATAACTTGAGGCCAAAGTGACAATGTCACAAACCTAATCCTCATTTCCCTTCTTGGTTAACAAGAATGAAAGCACAATGCTTTTATCAATAAAAATGTTCGCTTCCCCAATTAGCGTATCTGAATCGCGTATATCAAGAGAAGAGAAATGACTATGCCAGAAGTCTGTAGACTTAAACCGAGAAGTTGTGTTCTTCCGATCGTAAAAGGAAGTCCAAGGAAGTACAAATTCATGACTAAAGTCACGCACACAATCCTAATTCCCGGCTTGCTTGACCCTTAAGCCAGCAAAATGTTTCTAATCTACCAAAAAAATCTTTCTCCCCCGAGTTTTTAGAAGTAAATTCGAATGCTTCTTGCATAAAATCTGTCGGGAAATTGAAATTGAAGTGACAGACGCAGACCTGCATAGCTGTTGGAAACATCGACAATGCCTTGGAAGGAGGTGCCGAGCAAGACTCCGACGACCCGCCTAAACGATTGCTGGGAGACACGATTGTAGTGATCGACGATGCTTAGAAGAACCAGAGGGTGTATTAACACCTTCTTGATGGGCCCCGACGACATTTGCGGCGACTTATTCACGTCCATGTTGAGCAACCTCTGATATCCCCTCAATCCTTCGTTTCTTCCTCCTTTTGGATCTCTAACCTCTCCGTTCAGACTATACCCAATAGAATCACGATCACACCCTCTTCAGGCGAATTACAATGTGAGAGTGATGAGTGTGAAGATGGCGTATGATGGAAGTCTCCCGGTGGCTCGCGCCTTGAGGCGGATGGCCAACTGCCTAACGGCACATGAAAATATCCCAAATTAAAAAAAGCAAAATTAGAGATAATTACAATAAGCCTCACAAAAGAAAAATAATTACTAAAAGGTCCCAACAACAATTTGAGTAACATATAATGACAGATCTTATGGTAGAAAATGACACCCTCTTATTTTGTAATTTTTTTCTTTTTATGGGATTTAATTATAATTCTCCCTATTATTTATAGATGAAAGCAAGTTTGGGGTAGTGGATGGGCCGAATCGGAATGAATATCCAAATGGGCCGTACGTGGAGAGGCCCAAAATCTTTGTGGACCCCCCACTCGGCCTACCATCGAAACCATCCGACCTTTTCCTCTATAATATTTCTGCTCCCAAACCCTCTTCATTTTTTCTGGTACGTTTATTTTAGTAAAAGGGGCAAGCTATCAATATCATAAGCTCGAAACTAGTCGAATCGAACCCGTGACTTATAAGCGAAACTAATGTCATTGATTCACAAGGTCATTAGCATGTTTTAAGGTTGTTTATGTCTGTCCTATCCTGATTCGTCTAGACGGTTCCATACCCAGCTCAAGGCCATATGAAGCCAATGATGAAGCTGGCCAAGCTTCTTCATCACAAATGCTTGCTCCGAAGCAGAGACTCTCATCCCACTCAGAAGTACTCGTATATTTGGATGTGGCGGACATCATAATTTGATTATCACGACATAAATATTCTCTACCTCACCCAAAAGAGAGATTAATTGTATCACATACATTTCTCAAACGCGTGATCTTATTAGTTAAATACACAGATCGGTTAATAGTAGTAGTCGAAACACAACGATCCTTGTCCATGCCATGGGCTCTATATCATTCTCGATTCTGCGATGTACCTCAGCAAGCTAGTTAAACCATCAATGTCATCCTAATTATAAGAGCCAGTTGACTAATTTGAGGAGATTAAGAAAATGAATTGAGTTAGTTATTTGTCCTAAATATATATTTTTTTCTAAAATATCCTTGCTAATCAAGTGTATTCACTAAAACTATCATTGTTAAAAGGACTACTTTGAAAAAAAATGTATAAATCTGAAAGACAAAATGAATTTGGATCTTATATTTAAGACCAAAATAAAAGTCAAACAGGATCTTATATTAAAGATCGAAGATAGTATTAATCTAGTTACCTCTCGTGTCTGAATTTAGTTAGTAATTCCTCATCTTTTTTTTTTTTTTACTTGTCTTTATAGGAAGAAAACACAAATTAATGAGAAAACAAAATTTATGTACGATATGAAGGATTTTTTTCCTCAGTTTTTTTCTTCATTTAATATCACAATATTTTAAATCTTAACTATCTTGATTTAACGTCCTACATCTAACAGTGGTACTAATGGAAACAAATAATAGTTGTCTTTGAAATTTGGGACAAAACACATATTTAGAGATAAGATGAAAATCTAAATAAGAATAGGTACATAGGAACAGAAGAAGGAAGCATCATCATAAGGGATGATCGCCTTGTTGTCCCTCTTTTCAATTTGAGGCTCTCTTTTCTTGGATTGAATTGAATCCTCTAACCTGTTCCTGCGAGCATAGCATACTTATCCTTCCTTATCAAATTGGTGCATTAAAAACCCAAAGTTCCTGCAAAAGCCCTTTGAGTGTAATTTGCAACTTCAATAGCAGATTCGCCATCATAATCAGCTGCCACTCACAGCAGGAACTGCAACTGGCTTTGCATCTTCAGCTTTCTCGTGTTCCTTGTTCAGCATCTGAAATAAAACACGAAATTTAGAATGTTCTGCGGATACCGCAACCACATCCATTCCTCAAATCCATCTTTAGAAGTAGAATAGTCAGTCACCTTGTTGTTTATCAAGTTGTGAAGCGCAACCACACTACGGATGAGAGAGGATAGATATGTGACCAACATCATGTCGTTTGTTTTTACTGCATAAAAGAAATACAAAGGAAAACGGCATTTTTATTAAAAACAAGTCGACATAGTCAAGTTAAAAAGGAATGAGAATATTCATTGTTCCATGAGGGTTACCTGCAAAGGCCTTGATCAACTCAGAAACATTGAGATTCGGACAATGGTTGAACACATCCTGCAAAATCTCAACTACTTATGTATCTCAAATTATGCAAAAACTACTCAGTATATGGCAAATTTGCATTATGGCCATGAGAACTTTCTTTAGTTCAAACCATGGGAGATTTCTTGCGGGTACCTTTCTGACAGTGACAGTAAATACTTGACCTACTAAACTCTTTAGAAATGACTCCTTATACAAGTGAAGGCATGATAATCTGAATAATGACAGCCACATGCCTCAATAAACCCCCCCCCCCCAAAGGAAAAAAAAAGAAGCAAAAAATAAAATAAAAAATTAACAACAAGTAATCGGAAACTAGGTTTTGAAATATGTTTCATGGGAAATTTCCTTAGAACGGAGCGATCATCTTCTTTCAAGGAAAATCAAAAAGAAACTCAAATGATAAATTAGAAAAACAGCCATAAAAATACTTAGATATAGGTTTAATGATATGACACAATGTAGCTGTGGTCTGTGGATATCCCAAATTAAAGTAATAGAAATTGTACCTGCAGATGGTAAAGTATCTCATGGTTTAATGGAAGCCTTCCTTCAATAACCAAATCAAGGTAACCACGTATCTCTATTAATCTAGCATCTAAACCCTTTAAGGCTGTAAGTTTATCAGAAACCTGAACAAGCAACAAAGTAGGTGATTTGCTAATTAAATTTCTGCTTCAAAAGGTATACAAACAATGGTACAGTTCTCAAGTTAGTGATGAAGGAGATAGACTTGAAAACAGTGTACGCTACTGGAAAGGATAAAGGAGAAGGAAGTGAGCAGGTGGAACCTCAGTTGCAAGTGTACTGATGGTTGTATCTTTCACATCTCTTAACAAGTGTTCAACTCCTGTAAATACAAGATGTTATTGCCACTATTGGACAAGTAAGACCTAATACGAAAATAAGTCAACTTCTAACTTTAGTTGCTGTGATGAAGTGCAGCTGAAACTAAATGCAACATTTTTGTTCATCTTACCAATTTCCTCAACATCATGAGCAGCAATTTCGGAAGGGACATGCACAAAAACCTTCTGACTTTTTTGTGTAGCATTCTGTCATCATAAAACAAAAGTATCTTTTGGTTAAGATTTTGAATAAAACTATAATTAATTTATATTCTACAGCTCTTTCATTGCCAATTATTAATCTCTATAACAGAACATTTCAGATGCATCGTATTGGTCTCACCTCCTTCACTTCTTCAACATCATAGTAAGCTTTTGTGGGTATACCAAGCTCCTTAGGTTGCACATCAATAATGACCAAGACCGGATTTTGTACATAGCTAACAAAGGATAAACGGGTCAATTGATGAGAAGAGCAAGCTAGAAAATTTGAGAAGAAAAGAAAACGTCAGGTAGAAAATCTCACACCACAATATTAATATAGATGCACGGGTCACTACTCTTTTTTTTTCCCCCCATGCGACAGTATTTGAATGAAAATCAAGCTTCACAGTTTACATAAACATCGAGAAGGAAACATCATAATTCAATTGGCACAACAAAATTACATACAGTCAAAAACGCCTGGACCGTGTGGGCAAAACCAACAAAACTAACATGCAGAGAAAGCGAAATGAAAAAGAAATTCAGATCTTTCCATGATATTCTTCAGAAAGACACAGACGTATATTCTTACTTGTGGAATAATCTGTGAATGTCCAAATCATTCTCTCTAAGTTTTGGGCCCGTACTGTACCATCCCACAACATGCTCCTTGGCTGAAACACAGCCATCAAGAGTCCGTATATTACCAAGGTGAATGGGAATATGACGTCACTCAAAATTCAAAGATGAGACCTATAATACATTGTAGAAAGCGAGATTACCATTTATTCTCTTGAACATAGAAAACATTGCCTCGTGGTAGTTGTGGTCAAGGAACCAAATACTTGGGTCCTTGTCGTCTTCCTCAAAAGGAACTGTCATTATAGAAACACAAACATACTGAATTGCTCTCTAAAATGATGATATCATGTTAAGGTAATTAAGTCACTACTAAACATTTATTGAATCACGTATTATATACATTGTCCAATGTCTGTAAGCCAAAAGCCAGACATTATCTGCAATTTCTGATGAGAAATCCACAGAAGAATAAATTGAGGCCAAAGTCGCAAGGCCGCAAAACTAATCCTAATTCCCCTGCTGGGTTAACAAGAATGAAAGCAGAATGCTTGTATCAATGAAAATGTTCGCTTCCACAAGTTTAAACAAATCCAAATGTATGTTTCCCAAAACATTAGCATGTCTGAATCGCAAAGATCAAAAGAAGAGAAATGATTATGCCAAAAATATATAGACTCAAACCCAGAAGTCGTGTTCTTCCAATTGTAAAAGGAAATCGACAAAAGTACAAATTCATGACCAAAGTCACACACATAATCCAAATTCCCAGCTTACTGGACCCGAAAGACAGCAAAATGTTTCTAATCCCCCAAAAATTCTTTCTGCTCTGAAGTTTTAGAAGTAAATTCGCAAGCTTCTCCCATATAATCGGTCAGGAAATTGAAATTGAAAGTGATGTGACAGACGCAGACCTGCATAGCTGTTGGAAACATCGACAGTGCCTTTGAAGGAGCTGCCGAGCAAGACCCCGACGACCCGCTTGCGCGTGTCCTTCGCGACTCGGTTGTAGTTATCGACAATGCTCAGAAGAACCAGAGGGTGTACTATCACATTCTCGATGGGCCTCGACGATATCTGCTGCGACTTGACCACGTCCATGTCGAACAACCTCTGATATCCCTTCAATCCTTCGTTTCTTCCTACTTCTGGATCTCTAACCTATCCGTTCAGACGATAACCAGTGGAATGACAATCCCACCTCGTCAGGCGAATTGTGATCTGATGAGTGTGAAGATGGAGTGTGATGGAAGCCTACCGGTAGCTCTAGCCTTGAGAACACCGCACAGGCAAAGATGGCCTCCCGCACAAGCCTCCAAACTGAAAAAAGGAAAAATCAAAAAAGAAAGTGCTTTACTTCCTTCTTTTTTACTTTTTTTTTCTTTTTTTCTTCTTAGAGTATCTTCTCATTCCAACAGTGGGAGAATAATCTCTCGAGATACTGTCAGATGTCGCAACGAGAACCCTTTCCAACAGCGTTTGTTCTATACACATCGTTTCAAGAATCGAACCCAAAACATAATATTTAAGGTACCCAAATCCCTTCCACTTGAACCAACACTTGTTGATGGCATTTTTTTCTTGACACCTGTGACACCGGGGTTTTGGTTGTTGGAGCTGGGACCGGAGCCTACGCCGACGCACAGGACCCACCCCGGCCTTGTTTATTGCTTCCCTTGAATTTATCTTGGGCTCCTTTCATTCTCTCGGGAAAGGAACCCAATACCTAGAGAGTTTCATGTGGAAGCAGGATGTTATTGAATAGAGGGTTTGAGTGGGATGGGCTGAGAAAAATATGGGCCGACATGAAATGAATGGGCCGTGAAGAGGCCCACCTGAACTTTCCTTTCATTTCTAATCCTTACCCACCCCTATATATTTATGCTGTTATGCTTCTTTTACAAGGTTACGAGATCAGTGACATTTTTCTTTTAGGGTATGTTTGGCTCAATAAGAGGAAGGGGAGGGGAGGGATTTTAATGGAGGGAAGGGGAGGGGAGGAGAGTGAAAGAATTTTAATATTATTTTGTTTGGATTTATAAAAAAAAGAGGGGAGGGAAGGGAAAAATATTTTAATATGGATAATTTTGCTCTTATTTTATATAAGATATGGGCATAATGGTCACAACATGATAAAATATAGACATAATAGTCAAAACATGACAAAATATTGGCAAAATATTACTCTTTCCCTCCAAATCTTCCCAATTTTAGAAGGGAGGTTAAGGAGAGGAGGGGAGGGGAGGAAAAATTTTAAAAAAATTTCCCTCCCCTTCCAAAATTTATATGTTGCCAAACAAGAGGAAATGATTAAAATCCTTCTCCTTCCCTCCCAAATCCCTCGTACCAAACATACCCTTATGGTATGAGATAATTGGCATTCTTGTTTAAGCAGCACTTTGCAGGTGAACATATAAATTTTCAGGTGCATGAAAAATGCTTTTAAAAAATATTTGAAGAATACCCAGGAAAGGAATTGATTGTGTATAAGAAAATGAGAGAATGGAGATTGATTGATGAATGGAAAGAATATGAAAGGAGGAGGATGGGGGAGGAGGATGGGGAGTGGCAAGAGACAGTGGGAACAGTTAGCAGAATACGACAGGAGGAGGAATCAATCACCGATATTTACGACCCATCAGTCACGTCCACGTGGCACTGTGGCATGTAGATTCCTCAAACTCAGAATCTTATTAGTTAATAGGCACATCCCACCTGGTCCCCTCTCTTCCACCCGTTTTTTCTGCTCTTTCATTTCACCAACCTGTACCTAATTGCCAAACCCATGTACTACATCTTTTCATCATTAGCCTCCATCACCCTTCTTCACCCACACACATATATATTCCTTCAATTTCACATTATTTATTCATCACATAATATTTTTTTCTCATCTTTCACAGTACTTATCAATTCTAATGTATTATATTAAAAGCATTCTAAGAAAGTACTAAATAGCTTAATTTTACAAAAATTAGTGTGATTCAATGATTATTATATTCTCTCAATCTTTGTAAAAATTATTTTTTATGATGACAGGTACTATCTCCTAACTTAGATATGAGATTCACTTTGTAGTTTGTAGTGTAAATTGTATTAAAAAGTAAATTTTATATTTAAAACTGGAAATAAATAGCAGGAAAATCGTTGTCCAGTATGAAGGACACTATATACTACCTCTGGTTCTTAATATAAGATTTCGTTTGACCTTTTATTTTAGTCCTAAATATAAAATATTAATCTATTTTGTTTCTCATATATATTCTTTTTTTTCCTCAAAGTAGTACTTCTAATAATAATAGTTTTAATTAATAAATTTGATAAACAAGTATATTTTAAAAAAGATAACATCTATTTATTACAAATAACTAACTTAATCTATTTTTTTAATCTACTCAAATTAGTCAACTAGTTTTTATATTTGAGATCAGAGGTAGTATGCAATATTTCTCTTCATTATGTGATATAGCTAAGCAAGCTGGTTCAGACATCATAGTCAAATAGATTGAACCTAGCCCGCTACCTCTCTTGTCTGAATTTGGTAATTTTCTTCCGTTCCCATTTACTTGTTCTCATAAGAAAAAACAAAAGACTAAGGGGGAAAAAAATATAAAATCTATGCTCTATAAAATCTATACTATTTTGAATTTTAATCACTTTTATTTATGATGCCAAAAAGTTAATTGCTTTCATTTAATACCATCTATGTAACAGGCATATTGTTGAAAAAAAGGGTTAATGTCATCTTTTTGAAAAATTGGAATTCATTTTAGTTTTGATCCTTAAATTTTGAAACTAAAAACCTTGTTTCAAGGACCAAAAATCATTAGGTGAATTAAAATGACGTCAAAAATCAAAATCACAAGTCTCAAATTTCAGGGATTAAAATGAAAATAAGATCAAATTTAGAGACAATAGATGATATTAACCCTTAAAAATAAGTAATGATTATAACTTAAAATTTGAAAGAAGACATATATTTAGAAGGATAAAAAATAAAAAATCCAAACCAAAACAAGGGAGAAAGTATATATTAGTATAATAGACTCTGTGTCATTTCAAGTAATTTTAATGGGGTGTGCGTCTTGTTCCCCCAAAATTATTTACTCCTTCTGTCTACCAAGTTGCTGTCTGAATAAGACGTCTCGACATAACAGAAGGATCCTATTAACTTCTCCTAATCGTACTTGCTTCAGTGCTTCTTCGTATAACAAGACATTTATGTTGTTTTTGATCATGCATGTCAGTTTTCTTTTGCTGTCCCACGAAGCCCCATCTCTATCACTCTCCACTTGCCACAACTACCATCGTTCATTGCAAAAATTGTTTGGTAAGAAACCTTTGACGGCACATTTCTAACAATTCACGACTGAACCAATTGCAGAAACTATATTTTTTGTTTTATATCAGAATCACTGGATACATATAAATCACCGTTGAACCTTTTTTTATGACCAATATCATCATTACAATAATCAAATTCTTATTACTATCATGCTTGCTTCTAAACGCTTTAGAAAGATACGTGAAAGATGCAGATTCACAATCAAAAGGGATGATCTGATTGCCTTCTTCTTGTTCTTCTTGTCTCTCTTTTCAATTTGAGGCGCTCTCTTTCTTAGATGGAACCCTCCCATCTGTTCCTGCGAGCATGGCGTACTTATCCTTCCTTGTCAAGTTTGTGCATTCAAAACCCAGAGTTCCTCCAAGAACCCTTTGGATGTAATTTGCAACTTCAATGGCAGATTTGCCTCCCTTGCATGTCAGTTCAGTGGGAAGCTGATTCAAGAAGGTGATCTCATAGGTGGGCATAGGGTTCATGAACACAAAATAAGGGTCCAAGAACTTAAACCCACGAACTGATGTACCATAAAACACTCTCTGCTTTGTGTTGATAGCAACAGGGACGATTCTATCAGTTAGCTCAGCGAAAAGAGCACTAAACCTCAGAAGAAATGGCTCTCTACAAGTAGTACCTTCAGGGCAAATCACCAAGTCACCTTCTTCAAGTAATTTCTTAATGTTTGCTGCATCTTTCTCTCTTTCCCTTGATAATGCCACAGCTTTGATTGGTGATATCATTTCACTGAACTTGCTTATGCTATAAGTGACACAGCTGATTTTTCTTTTAAGTGCAACTGCGGTGACCACAGGGTCTAAAACTGTACGGTGGTTACATACAAACAGGACTCCACTTTGGCCTTTCTTTGGGGGTGGGGGTGGGGTGCCCTTCACTATGACCCTTATTCCCAGAAGCTTATAGTTATACCAAGCAAGCCTTTCAGGCAAAGGGATGTTAAGGTATACCCTTAAGATTGAGATTATAATACCAATTGGCATCCACAAGAAGGTCAAGAGTGCTACAAGAGGGGTTGGCCTTTGCACTAAGCGACCCTCATGGAAGATAACAGGGCTTAAAAGTTTGTTCCTTGGTAGTGGCTCACACTTGGTCCTTGGCACTTTATATGCTTCCTGCAGAGGAAACAAAAAATTCAACAAAATTTACTTATCTTCCAGAGTCATAAATTAAGCGTTCTTGTTCACTAAGAAGTGTACGAAGATGAGCAATTTAATTAAGTTTCTTCTTTGAAAGTTTAAGCCAAAAATTCAGACCTAATTTCATAATTAACTGTGCAAGGCATTTCATCCACTTGCATATTGCATCATAGCTGTTTGATATGATTAATTAATAATCAGAACTCAGCCCATAAACAGCTTCAATTTGCAGAGTGTAAAGAGGTCAATCGTAAAGTCACAGGAATTAGGCTTACTAGTGAATGATGACAAACTATGTAGGGCAATGTTTATTATGATAAAACTTTGATAAAATTACTCAGTAAATGAAATTTCAGCCCATGAACTACCCCAATATTTACAGAACACACGAATTTTTCCCAAGAACAGAACATGAAACCTGCATGATAACTGTTTGATAAAATTACTGAAAAAAAAAAAACTCAAAACTCAACCCACACACAGCACCAATATAACAAGGAAGGTCACAAGAATGATGCTTAGATACTACTCAATGATGAACTAAGCACTATGCAAATTAAATGACAAAGATTTCACAATTATTGCATGGGAGGAAAAAAACACAGGGACTGGGTTGACTATACTGTTGAGCGTCAAATTCTAAAAGAGTGGGTAAGGCATAAGGAACTTATGGAGAGTAACAAAAGGACTCAATCATTGACTTGAGAAATAACAAAGCAAAGAGAGATGCCAGTTATTATTAGTAGCAGGAAATAGTTAAAAGGGTTAGAGAAAAAGAAAAGAAGAATAAAACAGAGGGAGCAATGGAGGGCGAAGTATTTATAAAACGGACCAGATTCAAAACAACTAAGGGGGACCATTACAGGAAGTGAATGAAATTAAAAAGCCCAACAGATATCAGTTGGAGGTCTCATTCCATGAGAGAAAAAAATTATACACACACACGTAGCTGCACCAGAAGAAAAGGCATGTGAGCAGCAGCTCATTTTTCCTTGGCCATTAACACTCCCACCAAACCTAAATTCATTTTTATAGAATTTTTCTATAAATTGTATATTTTGTTGGTGGGTCATATCTTTTTCAATGCAGAAAAATTGGTTTTAAAATTAGTTCAAGTTATCTTATTTAATATGTTCCTTTTTTTTTTGGTCCATGAAAAATAACATACCTATATTTTGGCAATTTAATTAAGATTCACTTTGAAAAATTGCTATCCTCAAAAAAGAAGAAAAGAAAAAAGTAACGTAGCACAGGCTATATTTATAAAAATTTAATTAAAAAGAAAATATGGACCATGTTTAGTAGCATCTGATTATTTATAGTAGATTTGTATACAAATAAAATATATCAATGGATAAAACGTTGGTCCCATATTTAATATTATTCTCCTGTGCCATTCTTCTCTTCTATGTATCACATAACAGTTAAAAAAAAAAAAGATCACTGTATATTTGGCAGGGGTACTTTGTTCTGCTCATGTATTAATCTATAACAATCTATTGATTTTAATTAATTATATAAGGGAAATAGTAATAACTAATAAGAGCAGTTATAAAGTTTGTGATGGCTCTTGAATAAAAACTCAGAGACAAAACTGGCCCCAGAAGCAGAAAGACGAGGGTAATAAATTAAATTAATAAAAGTGAAAAGTGAAACCAAATTGAAGTTCTGGCGGTGAAAACAGAAAAACATTTCGCAGATATTACTACTACTGTACTATATGATTATTAATACGATAGTAATAATACCTTGCAAATTGACATGAATTCATGATCGCTCTCGCTATCTCCCAGTCCTAAATCCGGCAAGTTCGCCGGCGACCCAAACTCCTTCATCACCACCACCTTCTTGTGCTCACCCACCAGCACTCCCGGCTTCTTCACCAGTCCGGTGGCTCTCCCCGACGCTGTCACCTCTAATTCCGTCCCCAGCACCCTGTCCACCCCCAAGAATGTCTTCACGAACGGCTCCACCATTACTCTCGGGCTCGCCGTCACAATGTACCGCTTACCGAAGGAGTTGAACACCCGCCATGCGTCCGGGTGGACGTCCTCCGCGTAGAACCGTGGCAGAACGGACCGGGCGACGATCTCGACGTCGCGGATCTTGAGGCCGGCGAAGGTGAGGAAGATGAGGGTCTTGATGGCGAGGGTTTCAGAGAGGAATATGTAGGTGAAGTAGACGAAGGGGACGGAGGCGAGGAGGAGGAGGGCGCGGAGGATGCTTCCGGCCTCGAGAGCGACGAGCATGTAGTAAGGGAAGGCGCTACGGGACACGAGGAGAGTGCCGTCGAGGTCGGACGCCACCGTCTGGTTGGAACGTTGATCGGTGGTGCATTTCGAGATGGGTTCAAAACGACGTCGGAAAGCTCCCATGACCATGACAAAAGAGAGGAGAGAGGAGATTCGTTGTGATGATGGCTAGGCTTGAGAGAGAGAGAAAGAGGGAGGGAGCAAATGGGGTTTAAAAAGGGCGAGAGGAGGAAGAAGATGGTGATGTTGTTGAACAATTTTTGAGATCCAAATATTGAAAATGAATATTAAATAAATGTTATATATTCCCAAGCGCATGCATATTGGGTCCATTAGTAAGAAATAGTATCTTTTTATCTTGCACGCATCTTTTTGCCATATCTAAGTCATCTATATATTTAATAAATCCATTAAAACTCCCTTTTTTTAAGAAGGTTATACACGCATATGGTCAGCCACGACCTTATAGTCTAACAACACCAAAAATTGTAAGTTCAAATTTTATGTAAAGGATACAATGAGTGGATATAAAGAAGAAGCATGTCTAATTAAATTGATGTAATATTAAATTTTGTCAGATATAATGTATATATTGGAACGAACGAGATTTATTAGGTAAAATAATAGTAGAATATAATGATATACTCCCTCCAATCCTATATATAAGCTTCACTTTTAAAAAGGGTCTGGTCTAAAATATAAGCTTTATTTTTGAGTTTGTTGAATATTTGTTACTTTTTTTTCCTATTTTGTCCTTAGTTGACTGTATTTAGTGCTTCATCTCTCTCATAATATTATATCTATATTTTTTTTTAATTTATTGCCTCTCTTATTTACTCTCTTACCAAATAAGGTTAAATTTGAAAAACAAAAATGCATTTATGATTTATTTATTATTTTTAACTAATTTTAACTATTAGTTTATTAAACATAATTCGGTTATTTGAAACTTATATATAAGACCAGAAGAAGTAGTAGTTTTTGGGAGAGAGCAATAATTCTGCTATCAAACAAATTTTTTATTTTTTTGTTTTTAAAAACAAAAAATTATTTTTAAAATAAGAAACCAAACAAACCCGTAGTTTTCCGGGGAGAGTAATAAAAGTGAGGCGGGCAAGTGAAAGGAGAGGGCGAGGGGATGGAGGTGTGTTGACGTACTAATTAGGGCAGTTGAGGGGAGGGAGGGTAAGTGGTTGGAAGTGGATGCCAACAGCTGCGTTTCATTCAATTAGCCTACTTTCTAGTTTATTCATCCCCCTCCCCGTCCGCCCGCCTCCATTCTCTTCCAATCATATTTCATTCTCCTAATCTATTCTCCATACCATTTTAATTAATTATTATTATTTTAATATTAATCCCTTCTTCCCCTTTCTAAATTATTATTATTATTTTTATCCTTCAACCAATTAATTCTCTTCTCCACCTAATTAACTATCCCCTTTTCTCCCATTCATTCATCCGCTTTGACTTTCACTTATTCCCCCCTTTTAATTCTATCTCTCATCATCCCTTTCATCTTTTAATCCTACGTACCACCGGTCCTAATTATAAAAGCCAATTGACTAATTTGAGAAGATTAAGGAAGTAAGTTGAGTTAGTTATTTGTTCTAAATATGTTTTATCTTTCCTAAAATATCCTTACTAATCAAGTGAATTGACTAGAACTATTATTATTAGAAAGGCTATTTTGAAAAAAAAAAGTATAAATATGAAAGACAAAGTGAATTGGGGTCTTATATTTAAGATCAAAATAAAAATCAAATAGGATCTTATATTAAGGACGGGAGGTAGTATATGCAATTCTTTTCGTAGAAACTAAAATGAATTTTACCCTTATGTAGACCCAATATATTAACAAATGAGAGAAAAATATTTATCAGACATTTAATTAGGACAAAATCCGAAAATAAATATTTTAAAAGTGATTTTTTACTTTGAAAATAAACTATAATTTGTTGAAGAAGTTAATGGAGAGATATAGGAGGCGGGAATATTAATGATGAGGTCGCATGAGAGGAGGTAGGTAGATGTTGCATGTTGAAAGGGGGCGGAATTTACCAGATGAAGGCGATTTCCCACGTATTTTCTCACTCCCTCTTGCTTTTCTTATGGGAAACTCATTTAATCCCTGTGATTATATAATAAGCTCACAAGTTTTATTCTTGCAACCTCTTTTTTTTTTTTTTTGTGTCCTACGCATATATATTACTCCTCATGTCCTAAATATAAGATCCTTATACTAGTGTATATAAGTTTCTTATATTTAGGATCGGAGGAGTATCTTATTACACATCATTCAAAAATGCTTACATTTGCTGTTTCACGCCCTTCAGTTTTCATTATATATATATATATATATATATATATGTATGTATGTATGTATAGGAGATAAACAGTTTAGTGGAATGAAATAAAACCATGACTCAAAAAGTGAATGAAAATTACGCTTTATATTTCAGGAAAATTAAAAAAAACAAGAATTTATTGCAAACTACTCCCTCCGTTCCTTATTATAAGAGACAAATAACCGAATTACGTTGATAAAAAAAATAGTTAAAATTAGTTAAGAACAATCAATGTGTAAAAAATATAATTTTTTCCCCAAAAATGCCCTCAATTATAAGGAGAGAGAGCATGAGAGAGAACAATTAAATTATTAAAAGAAAGAGAAGTGGGAGGGAGAGAGAGTGTGAGTTGGAGACAATAAATATGGGTAAAATAGGAAATCAACACAAAAAGTAGAGACAACTTTTAAGTGTCTCTTATATACAGAAACATGCCATAAGTATCAAATGTTTCTTATAATAGGGAACGGAGGGAATAATAACTATACTTTCTTATTTTCTTTTTCTTTTTTTGGTTTTTTGCAACGTTAACTATCCTATATCAAGCGCTACAATTTTTAAATGCAGACGAAGTGACATAAAAAGAGATGATGAATTAAATGAGATTCAGATTTTTTTTATTGAAAAATAATATGTATTGAAATTTGAAGTGGTTCTTTTGCCAACCCAAACCTATCATAGCCTGTGCCGTGCTGGCACATTATACTTGTCAACTTGACCCATTTTACTAATTCTAATTAAAATGAGGATCAAATAAGGATATATATTTTGAATTATTTTTTAAAAATGAATAATACATTATTAATTACGTAGAGTCGTGATGCTATCTATGAATAATTTTTCTTTTTGCATAGTTTTTTTGTTTTTTGGTCCATTCTTTTTTGCATAGTTAAATGTGTAGCCAAATTTCAATTGTTCAGAAATCCAAACAATGAGTTATAGTGGACTAAGCCAGCCAGTAGTAAGAAAATCCCATATCCAAACAAGTAGGATGCCTTCTAATCAAGCAGACAGGTACAGAGCACTGCGAACCCTCTCCTTGTCCCTTAGCTTTATATTTCTTCGTCGATGTTATTTTCTGTGTCTTCACTTTCTGTCATTTCTTTTCCTTTTCCTTTCTTGCCATCCACTTCCTGTCATTTCATTTCCTCCACCCAAGTCTTTGCAAGGCAATGACTTCTCTTTATTTTGTCCTGGCTTACCTTTCTTTTCACGTGGTATATGTACAAAATATGAGTAATGAGGGCCCCGCTCATGTTTGAATTGTGTGGTTTGAAATAAAATATATCGGAAATGGTCAAAAGAAATAAAATACTCCTCCGGTCTTTAATATAATACTTATTTAACTAATTTGATTAGATTAAAAAAGTTAGATAGGTTAATTAATTATAAGAAATATAACATGTTTTTCTTAAAATACCATAATTATCTTCCTTAATATTCTCTCTTCCCCTTTCATTTGATCATGCTTGAGGGAATATCAATAGGCATAATTTAAAAACAACTGATAAATATGAAAAATATACCTTATATTTAGAATCAAAATCAACTCAATAATTAGATTTAGGATCAAAATTAACTCAACAATCAGATCCTATATGCGGAGGAGTATATAGGAACATATGCATTCACAAAATTAGTTTTACCTAGTTATGTATTTACATTTTTCATTTCTACTTTTTTCACATATGATTAAAAAATGATATGCAGTGCTGAAAATTAAAATTTAAAAGCCACTTTATAATTTTTCACATTATTATTAAAAGTATATATGGGGAAATTCTGATAATAAGTGACAGAAGATATACACACACATATATATATATATCACAGCTATCAACTCTTCATATACAACATATATTTGCAAAACGTTCCTTCTAATTTTTCAAATTATGTCTATTGTTTTTCGGTTTTCGTGAAAGTAGCTAGTTTGTGTTCTAAATAAAATATGTTCATTAAGAAATAACTGAGTTATAATCTAAGATTATGATATTACATGTGACACGTGACGATGATGTGAATATATAACATCCTCTTTAATTTGTGTGAGCCCTAAAGCAGCGATTGAACTTTAGAGCACATCCCAATAATTATTGCGACCACTTGACGATACCAAGCTTTGCCGCGTGGGATGCGGTCTGCTATAAATTATATATTTGTGTTTCTAAAATATTTTACTCAACCACAAAAATTACAGTTGGTTTAACATTGAAATTGCAAAACAGAAATAAAACATGAGATGAGTTCTTGGCGGGTAAATTAGATAATTAAAAATTTATGAAGGCAAAATGTACTCCCTCCGTCTCTTATTATAAGATCCGATTTTTTGAATGGGTTTGTCCCTCTTTATAAGATCCTCTTTGAGTTTGTCTGAACATTTGATGCATTATTACCTATTTTATCCCTAATTTAATGTATTTAACATATTTTTTCTTCATTTATCTCACATTTATCCATTTATATATAGATGTATATTTGAAAAAAATTGCATTTGCTACATATTGATTGCTTTTAACTAATTTTAACTGTCTTCTTAAATCTCACAATTTAGTTAAAAAGATCTTATAATAAGGGACAGAGAGAGTATAAAATGCCTTTTGAACTTCATTAATTAGAATATGTGCGCGTGTATAGTAATCTCCTTGATTTTTATATTCTCACAAAAACACATTCCTAAAGTTTAAGATTTATATAGATAACTCCATTGTCTCTAATTTATTTGTGAATTAATTCTATCATTTATAATTAATTTGCCAACTTCAAAAAAAAAACCGTACTACAATAAGTAATATGGGTCATTTATCAGCTTATACAAATTTTAATAGATAACTAGAAAAACAATAA